GGGGGGGGGGAGAGAGAGAGAGAAACATCGATGTGAAAGAGACACAGCAATTGGTTGCCCCCCAACATCCCCCAACCAGAGCCAGGGATAGAGCCTACAACCCAGGTACATGCCCTTGGCTGGAATTGAACCCAGGACCCTTCAGTCCGAGGGCCAGGGCTCTAATCACTCAGCCAAACTGACCAGGGCTCATTTCTCAATCTTTCTATCCCATACTTCTCTAGGAAAAATACCAAAACTTGTGGCCTCTCTCACTGCAACTTGAAGCCTCAAAATAAATTCAATACCATAATTTAAAATAAAATAGTAATTAACAAATATGGTTTTCCTAAATATGCCTTTGGAACCTGAGTTATTATCATACTTTTTCTCACTTGACTCTCTAATGTTATGAATTACATGAACAGAATTCTATTGTTAAACTACTTGAATTCCCTGGGCTACACTCTTCTTGGCCATGGTGTATTAACCGTTTAGTGAGCTGTGAACTGTAATGTTTGACTTGCTATTATTTTATTGAGGAATTTTGCAACTGTGAGTGATGCTGGTTTTTAGTTTTGGAAGAGGGGAATGTATGCATGTGTGTATGTAAGTCTGTGGTTTTTCAGTGTTAATGATCTGTTCCTATGAAACAAACCACCTGAAACAGTAACTTTAAACCACACCATTTTATTAGCTCTCAAAATTCTGTGGTTGACTGGGCTTGGTTGGATAGTTCTGCAGATCTTGCTTGGGGACTCTGGCACAGTCATATTCAGATGGTGGCTGGTTGGCTCAGCCTCCCGTCTGTGTGTGGTCTCCAAGTGCTTCTTTCCAGCAAGCTGGCTGGGCTTCTTACCTGGCAGCTCAGGACTCCCACAGTGCTAAGAGGATGGAAGTGGGCATTGTTAGTTTTCTAAAAGGCGAGGCCTGGTACTGGACTAGCACGCTTCTGCTGCATTCCATCAGTGGGTGTGTACGATCACAGGCTGCCCAGGATGAGTAAAGGACTACATGAACCACATGAAGGCAGGAACACTGAGTATCTATCACAGCCAGGTTTGGTGTCAGGGTCTGGTGTATAAAATGAGTTGGTTGGTGTTTGCTCCTTTGCCTATTTTAAATAGAAATGTAATAGTTTTGATACTGATAGAACCATCTGGGTATGAACCTTTTTGAGGGAGAGATTTTGATCATTTATAATTTTTGTATCTGTGTTCATGAGAGATTGGTCTGGAATGTTTTCTTGTCGTGCCTATGAGTAACCCTGTCATAGAATGAGTGGTAAATATTTCCTCTTCAATTTTTTTGGAAGAGTTTTATAGACTTGATACTATATCTTCAGTGTTTAGTAGAATTCACATTTAAAACATCTGGGACTAGAATTTCTCTGTAGGAAGGTTAACAACAGTTTCAATTTCTGTCAGATATAGGGCTATTCAGTGTTTTTCTAGTTGATAATTTTCATCTGCTCCATTATGTCTAAGTTATTGAATTAATGCTGTTTATAATACTGCCTTACTATGCTTTTTGTAGATTTTTGTAATGATGTCTCTCTCTTATTCTTAATGTTGTTAAAAAAATTTTTTCTCTTCATCCTGATCATCCTGGCTAGGAGTTTACCAATTTAATATTAATGTTCTCAAAGAATCAGCCTTTGGCTTCATTGGCTTTTTCCGTATGTTTTTGTTTTGTTCTTTTGTTTTTCTGTTTTCTATTGCAGGGATCAACAGACGTTTTCTGTATCTTAGACTCTGTAGACTTTATAGGCCGGAGTCTCTCACGGCTGCTTCTATAGCACAAAAGCAGGCAGAGACAGTAGCCGTGCCAATCAAACTTGACAGAAACAGGCTACAGGGCTGGCTGTAACCTATAAGCATGTAGTTTGCTAACCCCTGTTCTTCTGTTCCTTGACTTCTACTGTGATCTTCATTATTTCTTCTGATTACTTTGAGCTTAACTTCCTCTTCTTTTTTCAGCTATTTAAGGTGAGTGGCTGAGGTCATTGATTTTGAGACCTTAAGTAACACTCCATTCCACTTCACAGAAGTTTGGTATGTTGTAGTTTTATTTATATTCAGTTTGATTTTTCTCCTCCAATTTCTTCTTTGCTTTGTGGGTTATTTATCAGCATGTTACTCATTTTCCAGATATTTAGGGATTTTCCAGATATCATTCTGGTCTAGATTTCTGATTTAATTTCTTGAGACTTGTTTCAAGGCCCAGAATATGGTCTAGTTTGGTAAATGTTCCAGGTGCACTTCTGCTGTTGCTGGCTATTGGGTTTCATAAACATCAGTTGGTGGTTAGCATTATTCGGGTGTATTAGATTAAATCTCCTTGTTACTCCAGTCCCAGCCAGAAGCCCAAAGTGAATGAAGACGTGTATCCTTTTAGTTTTGACATATGTATACACCCATGTAACCCAAACTGTATTGAGACTTACTATTTTAATAACAGGTAGAACTAATCCCCATTCATTGCTCTTTCTTCAGAGTTTTTCCCAGATTATTTAATTTGTTTATCTAGTTGTGCATATAAACTTTAGAACTGCCTAAATCTGGGACAAGGGGTTGATTGGGACAGTTTGTATTTTAATTGGGAATACATTACATTAATCAGTTCATGTTGAGTTTTCCTGTCCGAGAACTGAACTTTCCACCTCTCCCAGTCTTTGGGTCTTTCCATAGTGCTTTAAGGTTGTGCTTATACAAGCACATATAGGAAATACACAGATCAAAGGGGACGGGATGCAAGAGCTGCAGAGTAGCGGCTGCTTCCAGGAAGGGGGAGGGTAAAATGTGGCAGTTTCTTAGTGCATCTTGTTGATGTGCACAGGAGTGTTTCTTATGAAAACTATTTTCCTATATGTTTGAAATATTTTATAATTAAAAAAAGACTAAGCCCTGGCCGGGTGGCAAGGTAGTTGGAACACTGTCCTGTACACCAAAAAGGTTGTAGGTTTGATTTGTGGTCAGAGCACATACAGGAGGCAACTGATCGATGCTTTTCTCTCACATCCATGTCTCTCTTCCTCTCTCAAAAATCAATAAACATATCCTCAGATGAGGATTTAAAGAAATTAAAAACAATCTTAGAAGTTAAATCGATTTTAATACAAAAGTTTATTGCAAATAGTTACTCTTCATATTACAGAAGTGTATTCTGATAAACCAAATGACCATAATTTGTGGATTTTAGATATAAAACTATATGTTTTTTAACCATATAATACAATTTCCAGTGTGATGACATTTCAAGGAGAAAAAGATTGCATTTGCAATAAATACCATTGTCCCTGAGCGCAAAGACCTAAAATAAGCATTGTCCAAACATCTTCCCATGGTGCAGCAGTCCCTA